GCATGCAATCTGAAGTACCATACTTCAGAAAAAACAGACATGAAAAGCAGATCAAAGTAACACCTGATGGTTAGAAAGCATCAGGAGCATAAATCAGTACTGTGATACCAAACTAAGTGGATGATATGCTTCAGATATATATTTCCGTCATGTTCACTGTCTTATAAACAGCCCACAGCTCCTTAGCTAAATTTCTAAGATGTTTATAATTGCAAACAGAAGAGCCCAAAACTACTAAAATCTTGTGGCTTTTGCTATGAGAAGACATACTGTGTGATCCTGGAATTACAAAATGACCATATACCACAACAGGCAAGACAAAGCATATCCTTTTTTATTTTTTTAAACTGTTCATCAATGGCAACGAACCTTTACCACAGCCAAGTCTTCTGAAGATAAATATGTGCTTTTCAGCTTGCACTTCACCTTTGAGGCAGAATTCCACACAGACAAATCCTGAAGTTTTTTTAATGGCCAAACTGTCCCAGGTTTATTTCTTACCAAGTCTCATAAGCACTGAAAGGGATTGTGGATAGTGATCTCACTCCCACTACACAAAGATTACCTTCAGTCAATAAACAGAACTTGATTATAGGACAAACTTGATCTATTGTTCAAAATTCAGTGTGATTTTCTCCATTAAAATGATCAAAAGCTTCTAAGGTTGTTATAGTTCTTACACACAACATCTGGTATTGCTCATCAGTTAAAAGACACTGACAGTTCCCACTCATAGCCTCAGGGTTTTCTTCAGAGTAATAAACAGGAACACCTGCACCTGGTCTTTCTATTAGTGGCTATTTGTATGCATTCCAAACCCTTTAAAATCCGCTTTCCAGGAACATTTAACCTCTTCAGGGAAAATAAAGGAGACCAGTTCTATACTCTCAAAAAATGAAGTAGAATCCTGTTGTCTTCTTCAGTACACACATTTTCTCTTCTTTGTAGACGTATTAGGTTTGCGTGGCACAGTTCTGGTAGTGGAGGAGCTCCAGGGATGGCTTCTGTAAGAAGCTGCTAGAAGTTTCCCCCATGTCTGATGGAGCTGATGCCAGCTGGCTCCAAGGCAGACCATCGCTGGCCAAGGTCGAGCCCATCAGTGACAGCTGTAGTGGCTCTGTGATAACATATTTAAGAAGGGGGAAAAAAAAAACAAACCTGTGGGGAGCAGCTGGAGAGAGGAGTGAGAATATGTGAGTATGACTCTGCAGACACCAAGGGCAGTGATGAAGGAGGAGGAGAAAGAGTGTGAGGAGAAAGGAGCAGCAGAGACAATATGTGATGAACTGACTGTAACTCCCATTCCCTGTCCCCCTGTGCTGTTCAGAAGGTGGGAGAGAAAATCTGGAGGGAAGTTGAGCCTGGGAAGAGGGGGGTGGGGGGTGTTTTAAGATTTGGTTTTATTTCTCATTACCCTTCTCTGATTTGTTTGCCAATAAATTAATTCCTCGAGTTGAGTCTGTTTTGCCTGTGACAGTAATCGGCTAGTGATCTCTCCCTGTCCTTACCTTGATCCACGAGCCTTCTGTATTTTTCTCTCCTATGTCCAGCTGAGGATGGGGAGTAATAGAGCACCTTTGGTGGGCACCTGGCATTGAACTAATTTTAACCTGACAAGGCTTTCTGTAAAGAACAAGCATTCCCACACTCCCATCAAGGCTACTGAACCTGCTGTAAAGAGGAAAAAAAAACCCCAAAAGATGCATTCAACTAATTATATCACATAAAAAAGCAGGTTTGTTTGCATGCAAACAAGTTCTTGTAATTTTGGTATTGAACAAGTCCCTGGGAGATTTGTATCATGTGCTACACATTGAGATCAAACAACAGTTAGTAAGTAGTACGATGCTGTAACATATAATATTGACAGGAGAGGGAAGTGCCTGTTGGGGAAGGTATTCATTCACAAAGGTTAACATTAGCCACTGCAGACTAATGCCTCAGTGGCTCTCTCTAATCAGTACAGGGAGAAAAGCTCCTCTAGAGGGCGATTCAGAATTGAAGATTCATTTAGCTATTCTGAATCTCTCTCTGGGTGACTCTCACTTCCATTATTTTCAGAAACAGCCTGCAGAGATTAACCTCAAAAAGCTCATGCTAGCCTTTGTGAATATTCCCTGGTATTTACCTTCCATGAGTAGGAACAGCAGCTAGAGTTCACTACTGGGATGTACAGTTGGGCATACTGTATTTAAATCTGAACACTATGTATTGCACATGGACCGAATTTTACCCAGCTGGAGCTTAGCACTCCTGCCAGAATCATTGAAACACAGTCTCCACAGCACTACCAGGATGACTGCAGGATTTAGGTTTTTTTCCACTGCTCCATTAAAGTGCTCCATTTGATGGTGACCCACATGCTGCCATAGAAAGGCCTGCTGTGCCCCCAGCACCTTCCAAGTCCACTGACATTCTGCCGTCGTACTGGCACGGCGCCTTCTCTCGCTCCGACTGCTCATTGTATCACTGCAGCAGCAGCAGGAGCTGGGTTTTCACCATCAACCAAAGTACAAAGAAGAAAAATTCTCAATTTTTGAAACCTGCTGTCAATAACTTTTAGTTATTACTTAGTATCAACAAGAGAGAAAAATGGTCTTTTGATCCCAAACACAGAATACAGTTGGATTTTGTGACTCGGGAACATGAGGAAGAAAGCCATAGTACTAACAGAAATATTATCAGGGTCATTTCCTAACTCTTCCAGTTCTATACTTCATTAGATCATTGTGCTTCCCTCCCTGAAAAATTTCCATGATATCTTCAAGTTCAATCAAATAATAGATTTAAGAAAAGACAGACTTCTATAACATTGTATAAACCAAAAGAATGATTACAACTCTTTAAAAGTTTTGGTGAGACTTTTCACATTTATGATTCTACCAAAATTTCTCGTCGCAGAATATCTTTGTAAACAGTCATCCCTTTATAAATATAAAATACAGAAAAAAAGTGCCTTTAAATTGACTTCATCAATGGTTGACAAGGTTAATCACAAACAGTATAAGCCTTTCATTTAAGACCAGTCAAATTATGACCAAAGACAAACAAACCCCAGGCAGTTGATTTCTAAAATATGTCTTAAAGTATGGTTAGACAACCCAGTACAAGTCTGAGAGTACAATGCTTTTCATAATCTTATGACAACTTCCAAGTCCTAGGAAGTCTGCTTCTAAACTTAAATTCTTCCTAAACAACCATGTCAAACGTGAATTAGACATAATAAAAGAACTTGGAAACATCAAATCAGCTTGCAAACACCTGCTAAGTACGTTTTGCCACTGAAATCAAGCCTCTTTAACAAACAGAAAAGGTTATGTTCAGATTTTAGAGACCATATTGAGACAAAGGTGTAATGAACACAGAAAGTACTATAAAGACCATTATTGCTCCACGTGAACAAACCCTTTGCACATTACATAAACTACTGGCAATGCATGCAGTATGTCAAGTATTTTATGCTACTTGTGTTATTACCCAAGTAACAGCGTAAGAAATGTTAGACATGATCTGAAATAATTTTTACATAATCCTCCTTTACATAAACATCAGAGAATCTTAGTTTCAAAATGCATTTAACCATGATGGCTTTTCAAAAGCTATACAGTGCCTTTAGACTGGAAGAAAAAAAGAGTTTCTGTTTGTTATATTCAGTATCAGGTGGTTTTTCAGGTATTCAGACAAGAGATTTGCAGGCAAAAATTACAAGCAATTAATTTGGCTCATCCTAATTATGTTGTGGCATTAGATTAATAGAAACTACGCTCTCTGCATAATAAAGAATATTCTGGCTTGAAATGAATCTCAAAGCATATTGATTAGAAGGTTATAGGGCAGAGTTTTTAATTATTGTCAAAATCTAATCAAGAATATGAAAGAGGAACAAAATTTTTACTTTTTTTTCACATAATTGTTTATTAAAATAAAGGAAAATCCAGAATTTCACAATTCATTTTAGAGCTGAAAAATTTTTATAGTCTAGTATCACTTTCAGAAGAATCTTCCTCTATATACTCAATTTACACACACTCAGAAGGGCATTTTGTACTTCTGTACTATCTGACACATTATCTGAACATCTCTCTAGAGCACAAATATTGCACAGGACAGTTGCATTTGTGACAATATTCATTTAACCAAGCACTACATTGCCCATTTTTCTTTCTGTTAAACTCAGGACAGAAAAAAAAAATGCAACAGGGTAAGATTTTGCCAAATATATTAAATCACAGAGGAGATTATCAGTTCAAGAAAAGCAGCAATTTCTAATTAAAAATACATGATTGACAGTTTACCCCTGGCAATTTATAAGCAAGAAGCATATAATCTGAATACAAACATTTCAGTGATTTCTATGCTGTTTCCCATATAACATGCAGTAACAAAACAAGACTTTTAGAAAGAACCAGTATTAGTTTACTGAAAAAGGAATGATGTATTTGATCAGTACCTATATATTCCCAAATTATGCTGCAATTCTTCTCAACTGATGGCACATGTGAAGAGATTAGGTCTCATAAATTCTCTGAAACTGCATTTAACTTCACAATACATCAAATGAAGTACTAATACATGGAAACCTCCAACTTCTCTTTTATCTAAAATATTTGCAGCAATTAAATCTTACAATTACTTTGGAACATTTGGCAGTTATTAACTTATTTGAGCAACAAACTCCTGAAATTTCCCTTCTATTTGAGCTTAATACTTGAACCATGTGAAAACTGTTCCACTAAACATGGAAGTTTAGAAAAAAATAAAAGAAAAAAAAGTTTTAGCACTCAGTAGGAACAATTTCTTTGTAGCAAAACCATAACACAGTTCCCCCTTCCACAAAGGAGGTTGAACAATATCCAGTATTTTAAATATCCATTTATTGTGGCTGTGTGTTTTACCCTGGTGGCATCAGTAACACCTACAGAGAACTCCATCTTTCCAGTCAGCCCATTCTTCTGCAAGTCAGGCAAGAATCAGTGCATGAGGTAAAAAAAAAAAAAAAAAAAAAAAAAAATCAAATCCTGGGAAGTCATTTTTGCTAGCTTTAAAAGAGGCCAATTCATTAGTTGCATTTTGGAGTTCCAAAATAAACAGACCTTTGCTGCACAGCAATGTCACTTATTCCAAAGCATTTGCGAGATGTTAAGAACTCCCAACGCGATCTCTGGGAATAATCCGTAGATCTGAACCATGCTTTAGAAATACATTTCCTAAACAAACAAACAAAACAGAGTGTGTTACCAACCAAACAAAACATTACCTAAACAAACATACACATTTAAAGGATAATAATGTTAGGTCAGTGTTTAACATCTTTGTAGTAATTCCTCGAATATACCAGAAATATATCTGTTATGTTTCCATGGAATTTCATCTTATACCTCTTACTCCAAAGATATTTTAAAATAAAAATACCAGACCCGAAGTTGTCTAATAAGACTTGAAGGCTCTGGCTTTTCAAACTTTGCAGTTACACACCTGAAAGTCTGATTTCACTTATACACCATAATAACTTAAAGACTGGGAAATTAAGTTTTACTTCTCCATAATTATTTTTTTTTATCTTGAGGTCATTCATGCATATACTAATTTTTAATTCTTTCCTTAGTTCAGTACTTACCTGCTTCTATCTTCAGAACCTCAAGTGTACTTTTCTTTTAGGAAGGCTACCCACATATCCAACCATAATCAGTCTCATTTTAGCATAAAAAAAATCTTGAACTTCCTATTTATTACCATATAGTCTTAATCATGTTAGTCTTTCCAAGAGGGCATAGTATGAAAATTAGAATTTTCTAATACTTAGACATATATAATATTTTCTGTATGGATTCAGGATTGCCATTCAGGTTGCTATTTTCTTCTATTAAATGTAACATTTGAAAATGAAACTGCACTGCTAAAAGTGATGCATTACTTAATTACTATATGGAACTTTTTTTTTTAACTTCATACTGCTACTGCATGAAACTGACTATATGTAATTCTCCAATACCAGGTTTCAATAGTAACTACATATTCTTATTCTTTGTGCTGATTTGTAAAAGCAGAATAATTGTATTTCCCTCCCAAGCATCACACTTCAGGGATGAAGAGTGCTCTCATAAAAAATAAGGTATTTAACATTTGTTCAAGTTATTACCATATTGGAACAAAGCTACACTTTTTCAGATTTCACTTTTCCGTCACACGGATCAGGATCAAAACCGTACTACTTACTCAATATAATGAATATCAGAAAATCAGTTCAAAAGAATGTGTTATCAGATGTTCTGGTTTTAGATATCTGCCAAGATCACATAACGAAGAGATCTATAAAACCCACTGAACATAAATCTGTCACACCAGCAAACTGGAGAACTAAGCTTACTAATCCAGATGAAAAGTATCCATATTGCAATGGCCATCATAAAACTCTAAAAATCTTAAAACAGGCCATAGCTGCATCTCATGCAGACAGCAGTTCACCCCACCTCTCAGTCTGTTTCCATCATTAATATCAGTGGTTTTATTAAAGTTATGGCATAGTATTCCCTGAAGTATCAAGGATTTAAAATTTAAATCAATATAGGAATTAAGTCTTAAATCTAGCTTTTTCAGCTTTCATTTCCCCTGCTCCAGGGAATCAGAGGGAGAATGAGAGAAGTCATACCTGAGGAGTAGTTCTATTCAGAAAGGTGGGGAAACAGTGGAACAGTGCAAAACCTCTGAAATCCTCAAGGATTACTATGATTTTATTCATAGATCATCTTATTTTGGGAAGTTTTTGAAGACTAATGCATCTGTTCAATCTATAGGAACTTTAATACATGTAAAAAAAAAAAAAAAAAAAAGAAAAAAAGGGGAAAAAAAGTATGGTTTACCCTAAGAAATTTCTGAGATATCAATTAATAAGACTGAACATTAGGTTAATTTAAATTATATGTTTACTTTTAAACAGAGGATGAATTTTGGTTTGGCGTAGGTAATTTTTTTGTTGTTTCTGGGGGGTGGGGTGTGTGTTTTTTGGGTTGTTTGATTTTTTTTTCCCCAGTTTTAGGACAACAACACATCATTGTCAGGGCAATGGTACCTCCTATGTTTAAAAAAACCCCAAAACATGTGCAATCCATGTGCCTAAATGATACATTTGCAGATAAGATGAAGACTGTGATGAAAACATTTTGCATCTAAATGCTCCTGTTTTACCCTGATCCTTGATTATGAGATGCTGTTTTAAACAACTACTGAATAATTCCTCAATATTTACAAAAATTTAGGAGAGGTAAAGCAAATCAATTAGAGATGTGAATCCAATATGCATAGCTCCAAACATGTTTTAATTCAGGAATCGAGTAGTCCTAAATACATTTATTTTGCCAGATTAAGCTACAACTAATTTGAGCTACATAACACAAAATGGAAGTATGCTTTTGAGCAAAACAGTGTAAGTATACCTTAAACAACTGACTTACCCTGTTTTGCCTAAGTATTCTTAACTGGTCATGTAAAAAATGTGGCTTTACAGGTGGTTGATGATCTAGCAGCTAAACTAAATTATTAGTTTTATTATCTGGTTTTAATACACTTGGTCATGGGATCATGATGAGGACAGCATCAGCTGAGGAATCTGCTTGAGACAGTACACCTGTCAAACCATAATCCAACTGTCCTAAAACAAGTCCAGGAAGGATAGAAAGCTCTAGTGGATCAGAAAGCCACGTACTCACTTGATCTTCATTTTCAAGTGGTTGGTGATGCAATCAGACCTCAGAAATGGTTCACTACACTTAAATGGTTCCTTTTACAACTCCAAGAAATTCCCCAAATGTTAAGCAACTGCTCTTCTAACTATTGGATAGTACTATGTGCTCTGCAAGGATTTACTTTATACTATTTACCTTACATATAAGTATGTTGATAATACCTTGCTTGCTTATTCTCTTTTCAAAACTGAAAAAAAAATGGTGTGGTATCTTCAATAATGACTGGCAGAGGGCACAAATGAATGAGACCTGGCAGAGATTTCATGCAAAAAGCAGAGAAGCAGCAAGTCTCCATCAACTGTTCATCATGTTTGCAAGCAGCAGTAAAATTCACAGTAAGATAGACAGTTTTCACTGGATGACTAGGTACAAGCAGCAAAGCCATTTCTATTATTTCTTAGTAGAAAGTTATGAACATTTATTCCCTAACAAGATATTGCACCATAATTGTCATCTCGAATGGGTTGAGATTAGACTACTGTAAGAATTTCCGAATTAATTTTATAGCTTTTTGAGAACAAGTCCACAGAAGCCTGCTTCCAGACAGCAGGCTATTATTATTACAAGTCAACATCTGTACCACATTTCCATGTATCAGGAGGTGATGGGGAAAAAGCTTTACACTTTTCACTGACAAAGATAAACTCTTGTCTCACAGCAAGCCTCAAAAGCTGAAATCAATTTCTCACACAGAATTGCTTGGTGAGAACAAGAGGGATATTGGCAAGAAGATCCTCTCTTCATGAAAACGTGATTTTCAAAGCACCTAGAGTTCCTGCTCTAAAACTATTACTTTTTAAACATATCAGAAGTGCTGCTAAAATAGCATATACTATCGAACCAGATACAGCGGGGAAAAATATAACTATTACTTCAGTAGCACGTAATGTAGTATCACTGTTTAAAATAGCACACTAAATAGCTATGCTCTGAAGATCAGAAGTGCCTCATTTTTTTCACAGACCTAAACAAACAAATGCTGAACAACAGTTCTACGGATTTAACCTTTTACACACTATGCTGACTGTAGTTTCCAACTACTAGGTAATGCTTCTCCCATTTAAGAAATCAAAACTTAAAATATAAATTGACCCTGAGTGCTATGCCTTAGTTTAAAAGAAAAATAACTGAGGTCTTTAATACTGGGCTTCATAAATAATAACTTACCTGCTGTTTGTGCAGGGTTTATTCCTATACCATCTAGGAAAAAAAAAAAAAAAAAAGAGAAGATGAAACAGACATATTACAATTTACTACTTACTAAACATACATCTCAAAAAATATAATATACTGACAAGATACAATTATTACATCAGGTCTTCATGCAACTATTTCCTATAACCAAAAATAGTCATATCACAGGAGCTAACAAGAAACCTTCAGCACAGAAAATCCAAGTTATATAGTTGGACAAAACCAAATCAATAGTATTAGCGGTTTAATAACTTTATTCCATGCATGAGCAATTTAAATAATGCTGCAGTATTATTAAATTCAGTCTGCAGTCTGTAAAGGTTGTGAAAGAAAAGACACTTTTGCTTTTATCAGCACACCTTCACAGAAACTACAATTTAAAAACAAAATACTAAAAAAAAACCCCAACTATATTCTTACCATTTGTTATAATGGCACTTGTTGCTGCAGGAACTTTGAACTAAAGAAAATAAGAGTGGGACAAAATAACATAAGGGACATAGTTAAAGCAGAAAATATATGACAGATATTCAAAGCAATTATATTTTTAGCTGGCTTGGGTACCAAAGAATTATGATAAAAGACTCCCCTCAGATTTACAGATATAGCTAAATAACGGCTTAAAGTCAAAGTTGATTAGACACCTCAATACAGAACACAAAATTTGCAGTACTAAACAACTAATTAAATCCAATTATTATCACTCATTGGGTAAAATATAAGAGCTAAGCATCTGCAAAATTAAGAAATATTAGTTCTTAATACACTAAATAAAGGAATGCATATGGAAACAAACTCCTAAAATGCATACCTGTTATGTCTAACAGGATTTAGACAAGAATTAGCTTGAGCTAATCTTGGTTAATTTTGACCAATCTCCTAGCTTTCTCTCTGGGTCTATTGGGAGCTCTCCAGCTGCACTGCTCCAAAAGTAGAGTTCACTCCAGGACTTGCTTACAAAAGGAAGCACTAACGGCACTCCATCAGATCTGGCTCCCTCCTCAGATTTCTGACAGCAGCCCAAGCAGGCTTTGTACCCTCAATCACCACCATGTGTCTCCACAGTACCACACCTCCACATGCAACATATGCGGTCAGTTTTACCACATGAAAGGCCCTACTCAGGTGGGGATGTATTGCATGCTGGCTTCAAACTATTTCAGAAAATCTGAACTGAGATGGGGAAGCCAAAAATAATTATTTCTCAAAACTAGAGGGAGCCAGGCAGGGTCAGAGAAAAATCCTGCACTATGTAATGTGGTTGGACCACACAGAACAGAAAAAGTAGGGTGGGTACATGTCAATCAGTGCTACCTAGTTGGTCTGAAGACCAAAGGTTGCTCCTTGGACTTCCTTTACTTAGCACAATGAACAACCCACAAGGTAAAAGACTGGTGTCTCTGCAATTAGCAGGTATCAGTGAAACCTCCTCTCAAAGCACTTCATCCTCCTCTCCATATTGTGTAAGAAAATGGGGAGATTAACTATGCACGCTAACACTGAGTGCTTCCTTGGAAGAACTGCAGAGCTCTCCCGTCTTCTGGTTTCCATTGTAACTAAGTGATACTATGGATCTTTCATCATAAATCATCTGAAAAAAAATGAAAACATAGCTTCTAGAATGTTAAGTGCCTCTTCTCATTTCTCCTCTGCCTCTTCTGATACACAACAAAGCATGAAAGGGATGGAACATTCACAGGAGGATGGACATCTCTACTCATTTTATGTAATTTTGCTTTTCAGGAGGTGAATCTGATCCCAATAAACTAGGTGCACATGAGAAAATGTGTGGCAACCAGTCAGTAAAGCACTAGTTAAGATTCTCTTATTGCTTCATATTGTATTGTGTTAGAAGAGAATAGAACACTTTTGTTATCTTGGGCCAAAATACAAAAAAATCCAAAAAGCAACAGTTGTCATCACATGAAAATCATCACAAGTATAATACAGAAAGGGAAACTACCACTGGAAATAATGACACGTATTTTGGTGCCACATGGTTCACTACTTAAATCAATAGTCCTTACTGTAGCTGCTAAGTGTATGTTTACCATAAAGAAAACATACAACCTTTCTGTGATACAGAGTCAAATGGATACTCAAGTAGCAAAGAAGTTCTCTATTCAACAGATAATCCTTGGCTTTCTATGAAATCAAACTGGGTAACATCCAGCCCCAAACTCACACACTTTAAAAAAAAGACTGTTGCCTTTAAAAGCAGTACGAACTGGTAACTGAGGCTGCAACACAACTTACTGACTCCAATGCTAGGAAATACATTTGTCAGTATCTACAGTCAAATTATAAGGAAAAGATGAGAATCACACACCAACAATTATACTCCTTTCTCACTTTTTACAAGGATGACAAAAGTCCTCTACAGCAGTAAACTAAACTTCTTTTGGAACAAAGAAAGGCAGATAAGTGCATTAAACCATAGTATTTTAGCACCAATCTATGAAGATTAACATTAGAAAAACAATAGAATAGTTGCAAAAATATACATTCTTATGAAAGAATGAAATTTATTCAGTGGAAATGGATTACTGTTTTAGTAATAATTGCACAAAGGTTAAGAGAAGTTTCTTGTAAGTATTCTGCAAATGTACACTTGAGGTTAAGTACCAAGTAGCTCTAACACGTGAAGGGAAAAAAACAATAGATACTATACACTGTGAGAAAATTAACAGTCACAATAAGCTGTGACAACTGTGGAAAGAACCATAAATAGATAAAACTGAAGACAGCGGTGTTTCCAAAGCTCTACATTTCTATCTGTATTTTTATATATACTCTGTAAGACACAAAAAATATAAAAAAAGGGAGTTAAATTTGCATTATCCATATTATCCCTGCCAAATGTATGTGTGTGTATATATATATATATATATATATATATATATATATATATAAAATCAGGAAGGACTGAGACTGATATGCATGACTGAGACTTCCTGAGACCTCCCCCATTTAATGATTCAGCTTTCACTTCCAGTTCTGCCAGTCATGAATTGTGTACAATGACTGTCT